CCGGGGGCGGAGTCGCCCCCTCTCGCTCTCTCCAGCCGGCCCCGGGCGCGGGCCTCCCCACCCCTCCGAGCTCCAGGCTGCAGGCTCGGGTCGGGCTGGGGGCGGCCGCTTAGCCCCGCTCCTGGACGGGCGCCCGGCCTCCCCCGGACCCGCGGGGCTGTCCTGCTGCTGCCCCGACGGCCATCAGCGGCGCGCACCCTCCCTTCTCCCGAGCCAGCGCGAGGGACGGGCCTAGCGAGTGCCCCAAGCCGGCCGGGTCCCAGGTCTGCGCTGTTATGCACCGGGTCCGCTGGGCCTCCCACCCCCACCGCCACGTTATGTCCGGAGGGAGACCTGCGTTAAGAGCTGGGTCCTCTGTGTGTCCCCGAGCAAGCTACTTAAACCCCCTTCAAGTGTGAATAACGACAGCCGTGAAGAGGCCAGCACCGACCTGGCCTGGAGTGGGCACTCGATGAATTGTTACAGTGATTCTTGACAAGCTGATTCACAGTTCTGGCCCCTCCAGTCAATCCTTTGCGTGCAGCCTCTCAAGTGCTGCTGGCTACCTTGGGTGTTCAAGTCAAAGCCTCTCAAAAAGCTCCATGACCCCAAATCTATTTTTCTCTAGCCTCACCTGCTAGCAACGTCAGACAACACATGACTGCTGGCAGGCCCCTGCCCAAACCGGGCCGCTTCAAGCCACTGTACTTTTGCACTAGGCTGGTCCCTCTGCTTGGAATGCTCTTCCCTCAGCTCTCAGCCTGCTGTGTCCCTCTAATCCTTGAAGACATTGTGCCGAGGTCACATACTCCAGAGAGACTTCCTTGACCTCTTCACACCCCAGGTTTGGTTATGAGTCCCCACAGCCCTCGAGGCATGGCTTTTTCATGGCACTTGCCACATTGGTTTGAAATGATCTGTTTAGGAGTCTCTCTACCCCATTGGATCCAGGTTTGGTTATGAGTCCCCACAGCCCTCGAGGCATGGCTTTTTCATGGCACTTGCCACACTGGTTTGAAATGATCTGTTTAGGA